CACACACACACACACACACACACACACACACACACACACACACACACACACACACACACACACACACGAGAAAATAAAATCAACTTAAAATCTTCAAGCAAAAGCTTTAAGTAAAAAACGTTCTAGGAATGTTTTACTAATGTTCCATAAAGATTATTTCTGAATGTTCCATGAAAACATTAAAAGCATTTTTTTTCCTTAGTTATACAAACGTTAAAGGGGTCCTATTATCCTCTTTTACAAAGTCTTGATTTTGTTTTGGAGGTGTACTAGAACATGCTCTCATGCTTGGTGGTTCGAAAAACGCATTATTTTTCACATAATTTACATTATTACAATACCTTTCTCCCCAGTCTGGCACAAACGGCTCGATTAGTTCCGGCTTTGATGAAGGCCCGCCTTCCGAAAAACGAAATGTGTTGTGATTGGTTAGCTGTCCCAGTGCGTTGTGATTGGCGAACAGCTTAGACGGTGCCTGGCATTCAAACTGCTTTTGAAAGCACGATCGCTTTTTAGTTTCACTTTCACTTTCGAGAATGGCAATCGCACGTATTCTGTTTATATGGAGCAGCAGTACTTACCACACATTTTACAAGATTAGATGTTTTTATCAGTGGTGCTCAGAATCTACAAATCATTTGCCATCGCCCTCAGTCATTTCTCCTACTTACTCTGTTTATGTTGTAAGTGAAATTTTATGTACTGTAATGTAACAGGCAAACGTTAGCAAATGTTATTTGTTTCCCGTGCCTTTCTGAATACGCATTCACGCTTCGGGCACACACCCCACCCCCTGAAAAATAACTGCATTTACTATGTACAGATAAGTGCAACGGTAATGTATTATGTTTATTTTGTTCTTTAATTCTAACATTATAACATGAATTGCAGTGAAACTGTTAAAAAATTCAGAAATTCAAAAGGTACTGTAAATATGCATTGCTGTCAATTTTAATAGTTATTTATGAATTACTTTATGCATTACAAAACATGAAGCACTTCTTCTTCGTCGTCGTCTTGTCTGATGCACTCAACCAAGCGTTCTAACCACGACCACCGCCCAACAATTAGAATTTCCGTAGGCGGGAATTATTTTAATGATATTCTAATTGGCTGCTTTGTGACATCACAAAACCCGGAAAACAACACTGTAGTCCAAACGAGCCGTTCGTTGTAGTTCTTGAAAAGGGATTTTTTAAAAACGAATTATCTCCCTTTGGAGTGGACTTTGAGATTTGTAAGTTTGAAGATCTTTTTTACGCCCAAACATACACACTACACACTGACTAAATTTCAAAAAGTGAAAAAGCATAATAGGACCCCTTTAAGGGAACATTCGATTTTATAATTTGCAAACATTATGGGACTGTTATTTTTGAATGTCCTGAAACAAGTATTAACATTAGGAAACTGTTAGATGAATGTCCAACTAAAACATTTAAATAAAAAAACGTTCCATGAGCGATGTATAAATGTATTACATTTATGAGATGTATTAATGTTTTTTAGTTTTTGTGGTAACATTTTGAGAACATTATTAAATACCAGATAACTTTGAATGAACGTTTGGTTAACATTATGGGAAGAACGTTTGATAACTTTGAAAGAACCAAATTTAGAAAACAAATTTAGTTTATAAAAACGTTGTGGGAACATTGTTTTGAAATGTTTCTAAAACGCTAAAATGTCTAGTTTTCTTATTGTGATTAAAACGTTATTTAAAGGTTACAAAAACGTTTCTTACAATATTCTACTAACTTTATTTTCACCCCAAATATAATGTTTATATTTAATATTCTAACGTTTTCACTTAAGATTGAAAACTTTCATCAAGTACAAATAACATCATGAGGACGTTCAAAGTTATAAGAAAGTTTTCTCTATTATCAAATATTAATAGTTGTAAGAACGTTCCATAAACATTACTTTAAAAAGATTTTGAACTAACATTTATATAACTTTTTTAAAATGCTTGTGAAAGTTGTGAGAGCGTTACTTGTTCACTCGGTGGCTCCCAAGAAAGTGTCTGACAACTCAAGCATATAAAGTTGCATTAGAGTTTGTGTTGGTCTCTAACAGCAGATGTCAGTGTGAAGTTATGGTCCACCATGTGTGTGTGTGTGTGTGCATGTGCGTGTGTGTGTGTGTGTGCGTGTGTGTGTGAGTGAGTGTGCGTATGCGTGTGTGTGTGTGTGTGCGTGTGTGTGTGAGTGAGTGTGCGTATGCGTGTGTGTGTGTGTGTGCGTGTGTGTGTGAGTGAGTGTGCGTATGCGTGTGTGTGTGTGTGTGCGTGTGTGTGTGAGTGAGTGTGCGTATGCGTGTGTGTGTGTGTGTGCGTGTGTGTGTGAGTGAGTGTGCGTATGCGTGTGTGTGTGTGTGTGCGTGTGTGTGTGAGTGAGTGTGCGTATGCGTGTGTGTGTGTGTGTGCGTGTGTGTGTGAGTGAGTGTGCGTATGCGTGTGTGTGTGTGTGTGCGTGTGTGTGTGAGTGAGTGTGCGTATGCGTGTGTGTGTGTGTGTGCAGGTATCGTGCGGTAGTGTCGTGGAGTCGTGTTCAGGGTGTGGGGATCCCTGTGTCCACGGCTGTAGAGATCGTGTGTATCTGGCTGCTGGCTGTAGTTTTGGCCGTTCCTGAGGCCATCGGCTTCACAATGGTCAGTTTCGACTACAACAACGTCACCATCCGCACCTGCATGCTGAAACCAGAGACGCCTTTCATCACGGTAACAACACGCAACAGCTACGGACATTAATTATGTTCCTTCAGATTTGAGTTTAAAGGGATACTCTCCAGCCCAAAATGAAAATGTTGTCATTAATCACTTACCCCCATGTCGTTCCAAACCCGTAAAAGCTTCGTTCGTCTTCGGAACACCGTATGCTCTTCTGTGTCAGCCGCGACACAAGGATGCGCTGTCTTCGTTCAAATCACAGCGTAAATACACGTAGAAAACGTATCCTTGCAGCGCGGCTGACACAGAAGAGCGTACGCTGCTTGCGTTCAGCGGATATTCTCCAAAATGGCGCTACGGTGATGCGGAGAGACACAGAGGAGACGAATTGTTGAATAAAGTCGTTATTATTGTTTTCTTCGCGTACAAAAAGTATTCTCGTCGCTTCATAAGATTACGGTTGAACCACTGATGGCAGATGGACTATTCTGACGATACATAGACACTAATCTGCATGTGGACAACATTTTCACCAGTATTTAGTCTACTATTTTTATTGTAATTAATATTATATTTTTAATATAAGGACAAGCATTTGAAGTTATGTTGGTGTTTTCACGTTTTCCGATCATTTATAAACAAAAAGTAGTTCAAAATCTCTTTTGGAATATTTTTTAAAGAGACAAGATCTATACAATATAATAGATTTGAAAAATTATTATATTAGATAAAATATGTTAAAAATTTTAGATGATATACAGTATATGACATAGAACATTGATATATAACAATCTATATAAAATTATTTTTCGATTTTATATATATCATAAAAATTATTCTGTATTTTGACTGAAAATATATAATTATTTATTTATCATTATATATATAATATTTTTCATAATTTATATTATTTTTTATATTATATAAAATGTCAAATAATATAAATATAAAATAATATTTATTTATATTCATTATGTATGTATGTACAATATATATTTTAAATTGTTATTTATTATATTATCATAAAAATGATTCTATATTTTGATTGAAGATATAT